AACACTCGGGTGGTCCGTGGTGCGCACTAAGTGTGCGACCACACTCCCTCGACCATCCCATTAACATGACTAAATTCATCCGAACACTTAAGTTCAATTTAACATGATTTCGCGAATAAAGGCTAAGCATGCGAGGGTTATTCGGAGAATTCCTTGAAAATAAAAATATGATTCGGTGAATTACTAGAAATGAGACATGAATGGCACGGCATGGCTACGGCTCACATATAACACGCATGCATGACCATAAAAACTCATCTTAATAAACATGCTAACATTCTCGGTTAGAAGTCGACGGGACTTACCTCTTATAATGACTCAAGAGGTTGGACGACTTGAAACCGCTCTCGGCCGTGAAGACTCCGCGTGCGGTGCGTGTGTTGTGATGCGTGCGCGTACCCGCTGGACTGCTGCTCGCGTACGGGTGCTGCGTACAACACTCGGTACTAGCTCCCGAACAACTCACACAAAATTCTCACTAACTCTCGGCACTCTCGATACTTAGCGGGTGAAAAGGAGTAAAATGGACATATTTTCTCCAAGTCTTACTTAAAAAGCCGAACATGGCGGAGAAATTGAGGGGGACTCGGTCTCATGCACGGACAAGAGGGAGTGCACGGATATGCGGACAAAAGGGGACAAAGCACGGACTCACACGGTCTTGGACACAATGCACGGATACACGCGCGCACGGCCTTCTATATGCCCTTAGGATTCTCCGCCCACTACATGCAAAGAGAAATGCACGGACAATGAGGGAAAATGGGGCACGGATTCTCTTGGACACTTGCTAGCAACATGACAAGGGCTATGCACGGACTCTTACACGAGCCCTCGGATACTCCGCCCCTTAGCGCGCGCGCGGATACTCTCGGACGAACACACACACACGCGGCACTCGCATGAACTATGGACCGAGCATTAACATAGACTCACGGCGAAGCACATGAACTCGGAATAAAATCCGAACAATTACTAATCTCGTGATTAAGTTAAATTAATCACTTAATTATGTTTAATTTTCCAATTATACATAATGCTTAATTACCAAAATTATTTCGAACGTAAACGGTACGTCGAAAATATTTTCCGGTAATTTTGACTGAAATAACTGAAATAATTAATTCTGAAAAATACTACCGTAACTAAAATATTATTATACTGATAAAAGTTGGGATATTACAGGCTGCCGTGGAACTGGGCACAGTCGGGTGTTACTGCACACCGCGACGTGCTACTGGGTTCATGAATGCGCGCACAACACTAGCTGGACAGGACTGGCGCTGCGCGAGCCACTGTCGTGCGCTACTGCGCGCTGGCGTGCATTACCGCACGCTGGCGTGCATGCCTGGGTGTTGGCGTGCGCATGCGCATCGCCAACAGTTACCTGTTGCGGTTACTGGCCGCTCGCTGTACCATACCGCGCATCACCTTCGCACCCGCGCACCGCCGGTACGCTGCGGGCAGCGCAAGTACGACCGACCCTCGTCGGCCGTCCGGTGGATTTCTCCGACAACTACTACATGATTTAACTTAATTTATCATAACATGATCATATATGCTTATCTTCCTTAAACTTACTGAGTTTCGTTCGGAGGACTTGACTTATGTCGAGGCGTGCGCACCAGGCACACGAGTTCGGCTTTAGGCCCATACCTCAACTAATCATGAAATTTCTTCAAACAATATTAAAAGTCTGACCTTAATACATCATTTTAAAGCTGTTGAGACATGAATTGCACGGACAAACTTAACCATAACAAAAGATAACACGACATGACATGAGACAGCCCGTGGGCATGCACGACATGCGCTGCCGACGGCTTGAAGCCATTTCATGAATAAACCTCCAACTTGTCTCGACCAACATGAGTCTACTGAATATAAAATGATCTAAAATGATCATATAAACATGAATTATTCATGATTTGCCGGATAAGAATTGAACTTTACTCGGTCATGACCTATAACGGCCTAAACCGAGCCTTATCATGACATATCTATAAATTCTTGAACATGAGCTGAACAATTCAACCTTACATGAACTTATTAACATGAAAATTGATTAAGGATGAATTTACCTCCTCACGTGCTCGATGAAATTCACCAAACTGATCGTGATTTTCTCCAATCCGTGCGTGTACGTGATCTGCTTGCTTTGTGCGTGTGATTAGGGCTAATATATGGCTTAGTATTTGCTGAGTTTGCAGCTTAAGAAATAAGCTACAAATCCCCTCCCAATTGCTGATTTATAGCACGGTAAAAGTGGTAAAAATTGGGGAAAATCTTCGGCCAATGGCCATGCGCCATGTGCCGTGAGCCTAGTACATGAGGGTGGCATTTGGTTGCTTAGTCACCCAAACTTTGGCTTAGTCATTCTCTTAACTTGTCTCAAACTTACATGTGTGCAAGTAATGATGGTTTTTCACGTGAGGAAAATTGAAGACCAAATAATCAGTCATTTGGAGTACTAAAGATAGCTTAGCCGGCTAAGTGCGCATTAAGGCGCTAAGTGCGATTGCGCGTGCATTAGCACGTCCGAGCTAAGGACACACTTAACGTGCGCTAATAACACCCATCACTTGCTAACACATGATTAATGACTAGTTAGTTTAACATTAGTGCATGAACATTGATCTTAAGTTCGATAAAATTAATTATCGAGCGATTAGACATGAATTAATTATCGGAAAATTATTCCGAATACTCTTGTTATTCGAAAATTTATTCGAACATCCCTGACTGCATTAATTAGTTCCGAACAATAACGAATGATAAATTAAATATTTCGGAACTAAACATGATATTTCATTAATATTATAGCAGGATATTACAATCTGCCCCCCTTAAATATTTCCGTCCTCGGAAATACAAAACAGAACATATATACATGAAACAGAAAAAAAATATATACATCAAAACTGGAAATCAGGAAAACGAGCGCGAATATCAGCCTCCTCCTCCCAAGTGGCTCCGTGGCGATCACACTGAATACGAACGAGGCGAATATCACGTTTCCGGAGCCGTCGAACCTGTCGGTCCAACACAGCTACCGGTCGCTCCTCATAAGATAAGTCTGAATGGATCTGAATATCAGTATGAGGAATGACATGATCGGGGTCGCACACGTACTTACATAACATAGATACATGAAAAACATTATGAACACTGGATAACTCGGGAGGTAAGGCCAATCGATACGCAACGTCGCCCACTCGCTTGAGCACTTCGAACGGGCCAATGAACCGAGGGTGCAGCTTCCCTTTCTTCCCGAATCGAATAACTCCGCGAAATGGACTAACTCTGAGAAAAGCTCGCTCGCCAACCTCGAACTGAATGTCTCGTCGATGATGATTGACGGTTGATTTCATTCGACTCTGAGCTGTCTTAAGTCTCTGCCGGATCAACTCGACCTGCTCTGCTGTCTCCTCGATCAATTTCAGACCGAGTACTCGACGCTCGCTGACGTCGTCCCAATAAAGAGGGGAACGACACTTACGAGCGTAAAGTGTCTTGTAAGGAGCCATCTGAATAGCAGAATGATAACTGTTGTTGTACGCAAACTCGGCGTACGGCAGCAATGACTCCCACTTAGCAGCCCTGTCAACAACGAAAGCTCGCAACATATCCTCTAACGTCTGAATGGTCCTCTCTGTATGACCGTCAGTCTCTGGGTGGTAAGCTGAACTGAATGCTAATCTCGTGCCCATCTCCTTGTGCAAACTCTGCCAGAATCTGCTAGTGAATCTGGGATCTCGGTCTGACATGATAGTAACGGGCACGCCGTGGAGTCGGATAATTCCACGGGTATAAATCTCAGCCAACTTGTCCAAAGACATACTCATCGATACCGGCAAGAAATGAGCCACCTTAGTAAATCTGTCGACCACGACCCAAATAGCGTCGTGATGTTCAGACGACCTCGGCAACCCTGTCACGAAATCCATCGAAACCTCCTCCCACTTCCACCGCGGAATCGGCAGTGGTCGCAGAAGGCCTATGGGACTCTGATGCTCGACTTTGACTTGCTGACAGGTTAAACACTTTCTAAAAAAATCGGCTACGTCTTTCTTCAAACCTTTCCACCAGAACGACCTTTTCAGGTCATGATACATTTTTGTACTGCCTGGATGGGCTAGATATGGTGCGGTATGAGCCTCCGTCAAGATCTCCTTCCGCAACATCTCGACTTTCGGCACCACAATCCTGCCTCTGAACTCTAAGGCACCATTAGTACCTCTCTGAAAACCCTCGACGCCTCCGGCTCGAACTTTGGCATCTATTGCCTGAATGAACTCATCTGAAGCCTGCTCGCGCCGGATTCTCTCCCTCAGCGTCGGCTGAACCTGCATGGAACTGACACCCCGTGAGAACTGTAGGAAGTGCGTCGACCACCTGAATTTGCATCCGGGCAAACTCCTGAATCAACTGGCTCTACTGAGTAACAACGTACGTCAGGTCACCCTTCACCTTACGGCTTAGGGCATCAGCAACAACATTCGCCTTTCCCGGATGGTACTGAATCGTACAATCATAATCCTTGACCAACTCTAACCAGCGGCGCTGCCTCATGTGGAGATCCTTCTGAGTGAAAATATACTGTAAGCTCCTATGATCGCTGAAAATCTCGCATCGACCGCAGTACAGATAATGTCGCCAAATCTTAAGGGCATGCACAACAGCGGCAAGCTCCAAGTCGTACGTTGGGTAGTTCTGTTCATGGGGTTTGAGCTGGCGTGAAGCATAAGCGACGACCTGGCCATCCTGCATAAGGACACATCCCAAACCCTGTCTCAAAGCATCACTAAAGATGGTGAAACTCCGGGAAGGATCAGGAATAGTCAACACCGGTGCTGAAGTCAATCTTCTCTTGAGCTCTTGAAAGCTCGCTTCACAACGATCAATCCACTCAAACTCCACAGACTTTCTCGTCAGCTGGCATAAAGGAAGAGCAATCTTGGAAAAGCCCTCAATGAATTTGCGGTAATAACCAGCTAAACCGAGAAAACTGCGAACCTCGGACGGACTCTTTGGTGTCGACCAGTTTTGAACGGCTGCAATCTTGGAAGGATCCACTTCAATACCTGCCTGCGTAATCACATGACCAAGAAAAGCTACTCTTCGGAGCCAGAATTCGCACTTGGAGAATTTTGCATATAACTTTTCTCGTGTAAGGGTCTCAAGAACAACCCTAAGATGCTCCTCATGTTCCTTCTGGCTCTTTGAGTAGATAAGGATATCATCAATGAAAACAATGACAAATTGATCGAGATAGGGATGGAAAATACGGTTCATCAGATCCATGAATACTGCAGGGGCATTGCTGAGGCCGAATGGCATGACAATGAACTCGTAATGACCGTAACGAGTACGGAAAGCCGTCTTGGGAATGTCTGACTCCTTGATTTTCAGCTGGTGGTAGCCTGATCTCAAATCAATCTTAGAGAAAACACAAGCTCCACTCAGCTGATCAAATAAATCGTCGATCCAGGGAAGCAGATACTTATTCTTGATCGTCAACCGGTTCAGATCCCGGTAGTCGATACACATGCGCATGGATCCGTTCTTCTTCTTGACAAAGAGAACGGCTGCTCCCCAAGGTGACACGCTCGGTCGAATGAAACCGAGTCGTAATAACTCCTGAATTTGCGCCTTAAGCTCCTGCAACTCCTTCGGCGCTATACGGTAGGGTGCTTTAGAAACTGGACCGGCCCCTGGAATAAGATCAATGGAGAACTCCACCTGCCGGTTAGGCGGTCCTCCTGGAAGCTCGTCCGGAAACACGTCCACAAACTCCCGAACAATAGGGACATCATGAGGTGAGCGTGCCTTCGGAGAATCATCGACAAGGCTGACGAGATAACCCTGACAGTTGCCTCGTCGCAACATCTTTCTGGCTTTCGCCATAGAAATGACATGGGGCAAGGAACGAGTCTTAGTGCTGAAGAAAGTGATCTGATCATCTCCCGAAAGAAAAAGGGTAATTTCGCGGTCATGACATTGGATATCTGCATGAAAACGCGTTAGCCAATCCATGCCAAGTGTGAGGTCAAAATCCCTCATCTCTAGAACATAAGCATCGGTAGACAATACACGACCACCGATAGAAAGACTGAGGTCTGTGGCTCTGGCTGAAGTCTCTATCTTTCGTCCCGAGGCTAAACTCACCTCGAGAGGATCGACAGCGGTACTGACCTGAACTCCGATGGAATCGAGACATCGTCGTGATATAAAAGTATGAGTCGCTCCCGTATCAAATAAGGCA